GGCAGGGAAAGACGACTACTCTGCCGAGCCTGTAAAAAGACTCTGTAACGAAAATAGGTCGACGTAAGAGTGTAGTAAAAAAAATTGGTAAGTGGAAGTGTAGGCATTTTGTTTACACTGAAAGGAATAAGCGGCTATGGCGCAGTAGGATCGTAATTGTCGCGTCGCGGCGAGAGGGGTGCCGCGCGCGAAGGAATGTAGCAGAATGCAGCAGTAGGTAAGAAATACAGGAACAAAGGAACTAACAGCAAAATCATGCCTAAAATAATGATCGCATATCGATTAAGATGTACGAAGAATGCTAGAGCTGTAATAATGGCGATGCGAAGGGTGTGCGACAGCCGCGTGCGGCGAATCGACTACACAAAACCGATTTTACTGCCCGTCTCCCGAAATGAGCTTGTTAAGTTTGATTCTGTGTTGAGTTGTTTAAAGGTTCAAGCAAGTCTCTGATTTCCTCTGCGGAAAAAGGTCCGAACTCCACTATGATCCGCCACGACGAAGATCATAATTGAATCGTGGGTGACGGTAGGGAGTCTTGAACGGTCTATCGCGCGGCAAGACAACTAACCAGCAATCATCGTAAGTGTGAGCGGAACGAGACTGTTCCCAAACAACTTTTAATCGCCCGTGTCCATGTATGCCCTCCGACGAAATTGTGAATTCTCCTTATGACGTTGATCCCCTCACACAAAACCAGATTTAACGTCATGCAAACTGTAAATGATTCGGAAGGAATTCAAGGACAGCAACAGCAAGAGGGTGAATAAACAAGGGTTGGAAGGATAGTGAAAAAAGCGTGATGAGATGAAGGGACATACTGGAAAGGAGGAAAGACTTGAAAATCTTACAATCATGTTAATTTTATTGTATTTTGAAAGGTGTCAACCTGATATTATAAAACTTTCCAAAAAAGGTGCTGGGAACGGTGCTTCAGTATGGAAGACATAAGTACAGTAGTGCTACCTCCTGTAGCAATTTAGTGAAATAGGGTCGGTAGAAGGTTAAAATTTTGTCGACAATTATGTGGCTGACGGTACGGTTTTTCTGTATATCAAGTGATAACAAGTGATAACAAATGGACATTGTATAGAAGTTGCACTAACCCGAATTTTGTGCATATTCCTGAAGTCAGCAAACACATCTCGCGTTGCGACGCTACGTTTCTTTGGGTTATCCTCCACAGAGACCTGAATATCGATGAGATCGCTCCATGCTTGATCAGTATTGGCCTGAAATAATTGCTTCCTCCAATTATCACGTCTTCGACAGGTTTTGAAGCACAAAAGTTTTGCTCTAGCACTCAAAAGCCTCTATTAATACCGCATGTCCCAAATTTGGGACGCTTCATACTTCTGACAACAGCAGTAAATAAGACTCAATACTAAATAATCAATGGACATTGGAAGTTTTCTAAGAGAAACTTTTCAAAAATTCGGTTGTGATTAGGCTAAAGATAATAAAAAGTTGTGCTACTACCACATAAATGGAATAAGTTGTGAACACAGCTAACTCATGGTAGCATAATGAAAAATCAATAACTCCCGTTTTGTAGTATAGTAATACACATACTGTGAAAAAACATTACTCTTCTGAACATTCAGATACCATAACAAATTATTGTAGAACTCAAATATGCAATTCAATCACCCACTTTGACGCTGAATCGAAGCCCAGTGCATGGCGCATCTCAGAACAGAACTAACCAACGTTGTAAGAAATATTGTAATTGTTTTATGGTCAACTAAACACATTCCTGCTCTCTTTTGGATTTTGGCATGGCAGAAATAAATAGCTTTTTTGTTCAGAACATCGAAACACGATGTCCTGAACGGGATTTCCATGGCGACGCTGATGCCTCAAATAAAACCCCAGTCAAGGCCTCTCTTCTCACCTATGCGGTCCATGGGCACTAGCTTTCGATAGACCAGTAAAATTGTGATTTACAGTACGTATAAAAGACTCGGCGCTCACTTAAAGAGTATCTGGGAGTGCAGCCCTTGAAAAACTCCAAAAACGCAGGGAAAAATACTTTTTAAACCTTCCTAAGACCCACATCTTCTTACTGTTCCTCTGTAATTTTTGTAAATAATGTGAGACATTCAGTATAACGATGACGACCTCTTTGGAATTTCATCAATCTGGCAAACTTCCAGAAGATTCCAAACGTACAGTACCTTGAATGATTTGATCTCGATGGCAAGGTAATCGGCCAGTTCAGTGATTTCGTAGTAGATTTGTGAAGAATAGTTGAGTAATGTGAGTAGAGCAATGAGTACAGTAAATGATGAACACCAGACAAGTATGACAGGGGTATGCATTCGAGTACAACTAGCCACCACCAACTGACAGCAGATCAGGTTGGTCGGTATTTACGGGCTCGATTTCAAGTCGTTGCGAGGACGATTAGCTGTAGGCTGATCCGTAAAGCTGCCATGATTGTACCGAATGAGCTGAGATTTGTTGTTCCACAATGAGAATGCTTGAAAAACCATTGATCTTTGCTTCTTAGAGCATTCACAGCAACGCCTTCATGAGAAAAAATCAGAAAAAGAGTTAAACGTACAACCTAAACTACCAAGACAAAATGGGAAGCGGCTGCGATGCGCTCTGCCTATATCACCTGGACACCCACCTTGGCCCTTCAGTAACTTCAATAACTTACTTCTTTAAGAAACAGTCAAAAAAGAACTGTACGACTTACTAAACTTGCCACAATGCTATATCATTGTTCATCAAAACATGATTTGTAGCATGAGCCGATTTCGAAGAAGACCTTTGATTAATTTTTAGCTGCCCTGGGCCTTCCTCTTTAAAGGGATATCCGAGCTTCCAATTTTCTGGAGACTCAGAAGACAGATCACTAGCCAATCGAATTCATGAACAAGTTAGAGAGTTCAGGCAAATGATCGCAAAAGTTCCAGAATTACCAAAAAGTTTGACAATTCGATGGAACTCTGAAGAAGCCTGCTAATATTGTAAGCACTTGACAAAAAAAAGTATTGGTGCTAATTTAGGAGGTATGAACTGATACAGTATTTTCGATTAAAATTCACCCTATAATTAATCAGCAAATTTAAAAAATAGGAGAAAAAGAACATGTTGAGAAATGCGAGGAGGTATTTGGTGGTGTCTCAATGCATTAGGTTGGAACGAAAAGGCGGGAAAATAGAGATCAATGATGATCATTGATAGGTCCTCCTTTGGCATCATGCCAACCTGAATTAGAAACGAACTTACTTTAATTATTTCGATCTTAAATCGCCGACCAGATTCTTTGAGCTCGGATCGGGCAAATCCCTCACTTTCAAGAATTTTGAAGCTGCTAACTCGATTGCAGTAATTCATGGAAGGCAAAAATCGACAAAGAAAAGTAAAGCCATATGAAGTCCTCTCCAATGACCACTCTATGATATTGTACTATTGAATTCCTATTCAGTCAAATCCTACAATTAGGGGCGGGACGAGTGTATAAAGCTAGTCCCGACCCGCTCTCCAGGAGCGAAAATTCTTTGCTAGTTGTCTCGCCGCGCAGCAAGCTCTTGGAACAATGACCATCCTTTTGACGAGGTACATCTACTCAGAAGGAAAATTGTCATACTGTACGACTCCGCAGTTCTTCTAGGCAAAATCATTGGACCACTAATACTTCACATGTTTCTTACCTGAGACGTGTGAAAGAGGAAAATCTCTTGTTTTGCACCGCTTGAAATTGGGCGAGCAGGTGTGCTCTAATCGTCTGCGCTCTGACTTTCACGACAGAGAGTCAGAGCGCAAAGGGGAAAATAAAAAGACCTGTATTGTCCTTTCACAGAGACAACGACGACTAGGTTCGAAAATTTGCTATACGGTTAACATTGTTGGTAATTTGACAATGAAGTAAAGTTCCAAAGAAGTAGACAGAGATATCTCCTTAAGAGGCATCTCTGCAACCTCTCAGATACATCGCTCCAACAACACTCTGGGAGGTGATCAACAGAAGTCGAGGGACCAAGTTTTGGGTAAAATCTCATGGGTTCAGAAAAACGAGTGCAATTACCCATGGTGAATTGTACCCCATTTTTCTGCACCCAAGAGCTATCATGTTGAAAGGAGATTGTGGAAATGAAGGGATGGTCAAGGGAAATGGGGTGACCTACAGATATCGACGTGCTGCGTGACGATGACTTCTTGGCTTGCATGAATTTATACACGTCAAATGTCAAAAGGCAGTTTTTTTCGTTTCAAAAGATGAGTCATGAATGGTGTACGGGGCACGTTGGAATGTCACAGATTTTCCAGATAGGAGATTACACTGATCATTCACTGAAGTATTCATTTTTATTGAAATCTCGTAGCAGATGCCCTTACCAGATTAACCACCTACGTGTCTATCACTTTGAAGAGAAACCTGCCAAGTGGTACCTGTGCAGGGTCACAGGAACCTTATACCGTGTCGTATGATACAAACAAAAAATCGGAAACACTAGATCTCTTCCCCACTTGAGGTATGAAGCCGTCGGTGTTGATCGAGGTTTCTCAATGCGCCGTGCACCTAGCTCCTATTGAAAATAGTGAAGGTATTTGAACGGGTGTCTGTCTTGTACCGGCCTTTCAATGTTGAAGTGACTGCATCTCTTCAAGAGGAAACTTGAGGAGAAGTGCAGTTACTGCCACATCCACCCAATAAGACTGGACTGCCCAGGTATCTATTGAAAGCATACTTAGTTCTCCTGGTAAGAGGAGGGGCAATGCCAAGAAGGGCCCCGAATCGTATGGTCGAATTCTCTATCCCGTTAGTAGCTTTGCAAACCTTTTCTGGGATAGTATAGCATGGATCGCATGTCAGGTGACCATGAGAATCTATTTTAGAGGCTAGATAAGAATTCAAACGGCGCTTCATTATTGGGTTGGGGTCAAATGCGTGGCTTACCCCGAATAGGGGTTGATTAAGGCTGCGAGATTCCGCTCTCATATGCTCGTTTTTCTTTCTTCTTCATGAGTAAGCCAAAGGTCTATCAGTCATCAGGGAGCACACCTACTGATCCAGTTCTCGGTCAGATTGCGTTACTGATTCCAAGATGAGTCGCTTTCCTGAGTTGGAGGGGCCTCAAAGAAGTAAGGAAACCCAGCGTCACCGAACTTTATCTCAATAAAAATAAATAGTAATAAATGAAGTAGTTCAGCTTCAGGTCCAACTTTCTTCCCTTATTACTGTACATCAAAATTCAACATCTTTATTGTTAAACACTAGGACATACTTGCACAACAAAACGATCACCACTTTTCAACGAAAGCAAGTCGATAATAATGTGTTCAAAACGACGTGAAGGCTCCAGGTGCCATATGTAACCCTGATATAAACCAGCCAAACTCCTACTGAATCACATGATTCCTAAAAGTCATGAGTTTCCTCTGTTATGATGCTTTTTCATGTAAAGCGACAGGAACCTCGTACAGCGTTCTTCTTTCCACAAGCAGTGACACGCCGTGGGACTGAAAAAAATACCTTGACTGACAATGAGTTCTGGTAGCAACCAAAACATTTCACTATTCAAAAGTACTTCAAGACCTCTCGGAGAAAATAAAGGCCCCGTGAGACGATAGACAATACTGCGCATTGAATATCTCTCAAAGGTGTCCTTTCACCTTCGATGTCCAGCATGATTCTCACATCCGTTCTCCAACTCCCTTCCCCGTTCTCAATCAATTCATCGGCTATCATTCTAGCACATTTTTTGAATTTCTACGTTACGGAATTATACAGGACTGCTGCGGCTACAGTAGACCTCCCACCTTCATCGAACTCCATCATTCACTTAAGTGTAATCTGGTAAGGACACAACTAGGGACAGAGTTTACGGCTTAAGTTCCACTCCATACTGTACCTTGCATTGAAAGCTGTTATCACGGAGTTACAAGTTGAACATTATTAAATGTAAATTAATCTGCAAAATAGCTCTGAAAAAATCGAAATAACAAATTTTTTCAATTCTAAAAACTCTTCCAACTTTTTTCCAGAATTCCAGAACGCTAGGACAACTCCATTTTCTCGAAAAAATTGCACTCTTATCTAAATATTCAGTACTCAATTGGTAGTGCAGAATCAATAATACTGTATAAGCTTTGTCGAAATAAATTTAACTTAGGAAGCTTACTCACAATTTTTTGTTGAACACTTCACAAGCCACAATCAACGTTTTTCATTTTTTATACACTTTGCAAGTTTTGCAAGCTTTATTTGTAGTTGTGTTATATATTTTCATGTTGATTTTTTGTCTTCGGAATGAAATAATTTCTATTCATAACAACTCCATTTCCAGAAGGTTTTCCATTAATTCTGTAGCATCACTCCAACATATAAGCTTTATTGGATACGTACCATAGCATACCATACCATACCGTAGATACATCCATATAATACCTATGATGCTACGAGTTTTACTCAATGTTTCACATGTCGCTAACAGTGACATGTGAAACATTGAGTAAAATTCGTAGCACCTCATTTAAATTTCTTTTACATACTTTCTTCAAACTCTACTAATCCAACTTATACTTTGATTAGTCACAGCCCAACTAATAGCGCCTCAAAAATAATTCCTTTAATTTCGTGATATTTTTTTAAAAATTTTTTTACTCTGTTACATCTCCCAGTACTTATTACTAGTGATGTTATGCGAATTATGCCATTTTTCGCTCGTTCTCGTATGAGGAGTTAATTATGAATAATGAGTAGAATTTGGCAACCTATAGGAACATGATCACAAAATAACAAAATGAACATAACAAAAGGCGAGCAAAAAGCTCGAGTAGAAATCTCAAAAAAAAACTTTGAGGACCAAGCAATTATATAAAAGTTTTAGAGGTCATGAGAAAAGTCTTAAGTATCGCAACAGATTTCTGTTAGTCGTGAATAGTTCGATCAAAATTTTCAATGAAATTGCCTTTTTATTGATATTCGTATTCCAGTGTAGAAGTATTCGGCACAAAGTTATACTTCGTGATGTTAACAGTGATTAAATTATTTTCTACTAAAACTTTCTCAAGGAATCCAAAGTATATGGCTTTTTACAGTACACTTCCTGGCAAACCATTTGCATCAAGCTTGAAAGGTCAGTTTACAGAAGCTACTCGAATTTTTGCTTTTTACAACCGCTGAGAAAAGTCGCTTTCTGACATTACACATGCGCTTGTACTACAGCTCGCATGACCTTTTTCTTCATTTTTTTCCGTTTTGTAAAACAAATACCGTATTAATTCCTAGTGTATTTGAGACTACTTCCAGAAAGCTCACCGAATTGATTGAGATGTTTGGAAGATGAGTGCCTAATTTTTTAATGTCCAGGATTCGCTTCTTTAAAAAGTCGAATTTTTTGTAGAGCTTTAACTACATCACGACCAAATATCAGTGGGAATTTCGCATTCCATTTTTTTAAATTAAAAGTAAATCGAAATTTGCAAAAACCCAGCAAACTCACTTGCAAATTTCTTTAAAAAAGAAGTTGAGTTTGTCAACAGAACATAATCCCAAATAAACAAAACAAACATAAACAAAAAAGCGGCGAATCCAAAAAGCTGAAGCCGTAAAAGTCGAAGTCAAAATTCAAAAAAAAATCTTCGAGAAGGACCAAGCAGTCTCAGCAAAGTTTTTGAAGTCACGGAAAAAAGCTTCACTGAAACCGCACAAATTTTTCACAATCGTCAACATTTTGATTGACTTTTCCAATATGATTGCTACTACACGAGAAAAATTCGTATTTAACGCTTATGTATTAAACTTCATCACCAAATGAATTAGAAAGTTGTAAAAAAAACCCACATTTGGATGTCATATAATTTCTGGAATGAATATTTCCCTTTCCAAAAGGCAGCAAAAATCGCTAAACGGTGCTCTAAAATAATCCTCAATTACGTAATAATAAATATATGCCTCTCGACATTAGTCCCATGAACTGACNAACAGCAACTCGAACTGTGCTCATGACAATACTTGAAACTTGGTCAATGGGTGCAGTACCTAGGGCCTCAGGTATTCATCTCTCCCGAATAATCGTGCTTAGCAACGAAGGGTGTGGTGCGTTAGGAACGAAATGGTCGCGGTGCGGTGAAAGGGGCGTCGCGCGCGAAGGAATGTAGCAGGATGCAGCAGTAGGTAAGATTTACAAGATTAAAAGTACTAATAGTAGAATTATGCATAAAATAATGATCGCATATCGATTGAGCTGTATAAGAATGCTAGAGCTGTAATAACGGCGAATGAGTGGTCCGCGACAGCCGCGTGCGGCGAATCGATTACCCAAAATCGTTCCTTATGCCCGTCTCCCAGCAACGAAAGCGACGGTCCACAAGATGGTAGAAGAGCTTCGGGCTAGCACGTCGTGCCACCGCTCAGCGGGACCGGTGCTTTTCAATGTACTATCCTATTTATGCCACATTTCCCATAAAAGCCCCAAAACTGTTAACTGTGCGCGTCACTCTCGATAAGTTTCACCATTCACGCATTAAATCCTCAGGAACAAAACTGGTTTACTTACAGCGCCTGCTACTTATCATGCTTGTCGCACTTACTATTTCATATGCGGTATTGCTAAAAATCCTGATTAGGATAATTTTGTTCGAAGTAGGGTTAGTGCCAGGAATGTGGGCGGAGCGATCCGAATGATGGACAGACTGGAACCAATGACAGAGCTTGGCCTGCGCACGGCGGTGATTGGACGGCTCGAAAGAACTCCCTGCCTAGACCAAAAGCGTGTTTTTCACGATAATAATTGAACATTTTACAGATTACTATTGAGACTTTTGATTTTACTGATCACCAGAAGTTCCCTATTCCAACAGGATTCACCTCTATACCTTGTAAACCTTCCTGAACTGTCAATGCACATTCTTGGCCGAGGGCAATAATTTCATGTGGTCCGTTTGATCTGCTATGGCGCGACCAACAGAGCGCTAATGTTTCATTCTAAGGATGGACGAGTTGCTCGTCAAACTAATGGTAATGGCCGAGTTCCAATATTTACCTACTTGCGAGACAATTGTATGAATGCAATGAGAAGACGTGTTGGCAAGGTTTTTTCTACCGTATTCCTCAAAAGTACGAATAAAGGTAAATTGAACAAAAAAATTTACATGGGAAAGGAAAATGATATCACCAGATGTTCCAATGTAAAATGCATTTTAATAGATAGGAGAAACTTGAAAAGACGTTTTTTCCGGTTTTCTAATTTAGATTTGGCATTGATTATGCAGGAGTCAACAAAAAACAAATTGCCCACAGTTCTGAAACGATTATCAGTTACCGTACCATAGATTATTCCTTTGTCATCATTGGCTGATGAAAAATGGTTTAATTTCTTCAAGTAACTTTCAAAAAGTGGCCTTCAACGTATGAGAACTAATGGGGTTAACAGAAACATTTTTCTATGGAATTGATAATGTATGTTGACAAATATCTCTATTTCTCCCGACTCGAATGCAATCAGAACGCTTTGCACTGGAGAGGTTCATAGAAAGAAGGGTCGCGCTGATCTTTTTACTAACAAGTAACTCGTTACAGTCGAGCCAGCCAACTGGTTTACGTAATCGGACAACACGAGATCCCATCATAAGTGATGGAATAGAAAAACTCTGGAAACATATTAGGGAACTATTGGAAAACATTTCCCATTCGAATAGTCCTATCAGAGCTCCTGAATCTTCCCATTTGATCAATCCACTAGGGAAACTTTTCTCTGTGGGCAGGAAATCGATAAAGAAGAAGTCAACAAACAAATCATCCAATCTTTTATTGCAGTCGATCTCTTCATGGGCAACCTTCCCGAACTTATGGCCATTAATCAAATTGTTCAATTGAAAACTATGAATTTCTTGAAACAGGGATCCGCTTACTAGCCATAAAATCAGGGAGGTTGTAAATTAACAGGACCATCGCCCTCCTCATTGAAATTGATCCTGCTTAAATTTTAATTTAGTTTCACATTAAATCAAAAGCGAATACGCTAGCGTCAGCATGAAGACTGCCCAAAAATGTGTATAGTTCGTGATGGCTTGGCCATACGTCTCTATTTTGAAAGCACAGTTCACGTTGGAAATTGCTTCTGAAATTTCTCCCAAGGATGGAACTGTGATCAAATAGGGCAGTCTAAGGGAAGAACGAAGGGTCGGGTCTAAAAATCGTCAAATGGGTGGTAATAAGGGCCCTCAAATCGGCTTAACCGACATATACACCCAAGGTGGACGAATTGTGAGGCGTTGTAAAGGCTGTAGGGGTTGCGCCATTCGCACCGGGACCCACACCTTGCACGCAGGCAACGGTTGCAACCAGCTGCATGCAGGGCCACGCGCGTTCGAAAATCTCGTGTAAATCACCTACCATGCAACTTTTTCGTGACATTCTCGTCCAACCCATGATTTTACTTTCTTTTTAAAGCATTATATTTCTCTGAATACGCCGATTTCCGCGTTTTCTTAGCCACATATGCACTCTTCTGGACTATCATTTACATTACTCGTTACGAATAGATAACCCAAAATTATCGTTAACTGTACCTTTAAAGTACAACATGCCTTATAATGTTGACATTGCACCGATGGTGATGATATCACCGCTTTGCGCGTACATATATTTGTAGTTTGTGACGGATTGTGTGAACAGTGAACATGAAGATGGTTCTGATTCGTACTCGACCTCCCCTAGTGAAACACACTGGGGCACGAGACACCGAGAAATGGGAGGGACCATCGTCGCTCTCCCTTCATGTTTACCTACCAATGATCAAGTACGACATCGTCACTACCCTCGAATTCATTCGGACAGACACACCTCCGTCTGCCTTCTCCATTCAATCTCCCTTGAGATTCGATTTCGCTTTTGTCATATGCAGTCTTTTTTTCCGAGCAGAAAAAGCAAGGACCAGGGGTAACCCATAGGGTACCAGTTTAGGGTACCGTTCGACATATTTCTTGGGTTATATTTTACCCGATCATTTCGACCATAGGAAATCAATAGCGAAATTGTTCGTTCACCAAAGACGATCCTTCTAACAGTCTCTATTCGCAGTTGCCAAAAAAGGCTATGTCGTTGCTGACGTATCTGTACCAGACTCGGTCAGTGCCCGCCCGCCTATTCGTCATCGATGAATGGGAACAGTGAATAGACGATTTTCGAGTCAAATCCAAATCGTTTCACTTTCGCCATCCCACTATTCCGTGCTACTCGCTTCCTAGACGTGTTGCCGTCTTGTATCCAGGAAATTTCGTACCTTTGTCATCCTTTTCACAGTTCTTTGTGAGGAATTGAAACTTCCTCGGAATTCCTTCATATGCTGTTAAAATTGGTGTATTTAAAGAGAATTTTAATCTGAACAGAGTTTTCCGGTAAAATGAGGTCGTATGGACTGTGAGAGCCACTTTTCTCTGTGATGATTCCTTTTCCTTTCCGTTGTTCGTGAGAGAACTGGCGTAGCGCCAACTATGTAGTAGGAACCCGTTGAAGCCCCCCGTAAGTGACTGGCGCTAATTAACTTACTAAACGATCTCATTGTAAACGTTATCGTCCAAATGCCCAACAAAGCGGAAAAAAGTGGGAAACATGGACGGAAAGCATCGAAACTGCTGGGAGATTCACAGGCTGCTCAGTCAACAGATCGCTTCAACAGAAAATCTTTGCACGCATCATTTCATCTTTGCTTTTCTGAGTAATCACCTGAGTGCTCTATTACTTTCATCACTTTCAGAGTATACAACTTCGCTAATAGTTACTTTATTCTACTACACTGTATAGATACAGTGACTTCTGATCAAAATGTCAACGCTCAATTGCAGTGAACCATTTCCTATACCAGATATGTATACCATGTATGAAAGTAAGTTTTTGATAAGAATAATTCATCTACCTTAACATAAAAATAATCTAGAAATTTTTTCTTGTAAAAAGTGATAAATGGTAGAGATCCTCGTGGAAACTTTGAATACAAATCGAAATGTCAAAGATGTGTTTACCCACATCAGGATCGCCCCGCACTTTACCTTCATTCAGAATTGTCGAGCTATTTGGATGCATTAAAGGTCTACATTTACTTTTTTATTTGGTTTCACATGAAAGACCATTAAGAAACGTGAATCGGCCATATGTGTATTCACAACAACCCGTCACAGAAAGAAAAACCCATCCTANACAGATGGAAGTATTGGACGATTTCGTAAATCCGATCATAGGCTGACTAATATAAAAAGATGAAATATTAGGTTTTTGGCGCTGACCTTCTGGGCTTGAGGTGCATCCGCATCTTGACTAACATCTTAACTTAACCTCTTAAGTGGTTCGGATTTACAGGTCCGCGTTTTTCCTCCCAGACCATTTGACTACATATGAGCATAATAGAAGAGAAGAAGGCTCGGTGGGGGTGTGCCTGGGCACCGACCAGAGCGCTGCAAGCTGTAGCTCTAGTCTCAAAGTGCGACTCTCTTTTGGACCACAAGATTTTACAGAAACTATTTAAAAAAACATCAAAGTAACGGCTCCCTGATAACCAACGATTTTTTGATTGGTTCAAATTAGGCAACAATAAACCTTTTCAAAAATGCTTAGCTAAACCAGGCCTTGCTTTGAAGAAATCGACTGTGGGCCAAGATGTGCCGCGTGGTCTCCGCCTTCAAGCTAGGTCGGTGCGTGAGACAATCCTAGGCAGTCTTAAGAGATCTTGCTTCATGCCACCGTTCTTCTCTTCTGAAGGGGCTGATAAGGACTAAAAAAAAGCGAAAACCAAATTTCATAGTGTTCAAATGTAGGTTCTAAAGATGCCACTTTCTCATGAGTTCCAAGGGATGGCTGAACACAAAAGTAAAGAAGATGTAGAAACCCTTGAACGATGAAGGACTGACTAGCTAAGATCGAGCGACTGAGCAGGATATGATCTGCTGATCTCACTTGCGTAAACAGCGCCATTTGCGACTTCCTAAATAGTACACTACAACTTTACTTTGCAGATTTTACCGATACTCAATTTCTACTATTCTCTATCGCTGGCGCTCTTAATATTGCTGTGGTTGTCGTCGGCATTCTACACATACTTAATATATGGAAGTATATAAGTGATGAAAAAATACGTTCAAAACTCTACATACTTGCATTAATGTTCCCGGTGAGTTTTACCAGATTAACCTAATCTCCAAAATACTTTCGGGAGGTAAGGTATTACCTCCCTGTAGATCATTTTCAGTTAAAGCGCTATCGACTAAATTTTCATTCATTTCTATAATTTTATTTTGATCAGCAGAAGTTTGGATCGTCGCTCAATCTGAAGATGCTATTCAGATAATCGCTTCCCTAGCATTTGTGTCTATGATTTCACCACGAAGCGGATCAATCTTCTCATCAATTGGAGTACTGTACATTTTGTTCTGCGTTTACACCGTCACATCATTATGCAGGTGCAGTGATTTATTTACGAGTTTATGCAAAATCCCTAGGGGACATAAGGTCCTCCGTGGCTAACCAGCATGGTCTAATCACAACCTGGCAGATACCGGGACCGAATTCTGTCTTGACTGAATATGGATGGGGAGTAGCCGGCTTTACACGGAAGTCCAGACACTAGAACTGTTAAGAGGTGGCTTGACAGGGGAGACGGGCAGCAGGAACGGTTTTGTGTAATCGATCCGCCGCATGCGGCCGTCGCTAACCATTTGCCCTACAGTTCAACGTTCTTCATACAGCTCAATCGCTATGCAATTATTACTTTTGGCATGATTCTACTGTTAGTTCTATTGTTCCTGTATTTCATACTTGCTGCTGCATTCTGCTAGATTCCTTCGCGCGCGGCGTTTCTCTCGCCGCGAGGCGACAACGTCGATCCTACTGCACCACACCCGCTTGACAGTTCTAGTGCCATAGGAGAAAAGCCAACGGACCATCTAATGGAAGCCAAGTGCACGGCGCAAACCGCTGCCAAGTATTGATCACTGTTCAATGAGGTGATGTGGACCTATAAAGTGAAAGTCGACCTCGCACTCATGAATCACGAATTATTCCGTGGAAAAGGGGCTTTACGACTATGGCGTGCATGATTGTCGCCCCGTGCTGAGCCCTATGTAAAGTCGACATTTGATCGACGATCCCCGTGAAAATCAACAGTACCGCTGAAACATTTCCGCTGCGCCCAAGGTCTCTTTTCTCATGAACAACAAACGAGTAGAGCAAACACACTGAGGAAGCCACCGTGGTAAAGAAAATGCGAAGAAAATAGCAGATTGGTCAAAAAATTGAAAGGTAGTTTTATTCCGGATTCTATTTTATAATTGTGTATTATTTCCAAAAAGGATAAACGATCCGAAATAGTTATAGTCGCTTAAAGACTATTACCTTTCTTCAATAACTCAATTATTAACGATTTTCAAGTTGAAGTATGCGTTTTAAAATCATTTAAAATAAACTAAATTTTTAAAATTCAGTTTTTTTT